TTGCAGTGAACAATAATGATGAGACTTCCGTCTCTATTCTTATTTCACATAATTGCAATTTGGAAAAATATAACAACGCTGGTCTAACTCCTCTTACTTTGGCTGTGAGGAAAAATAACATCCAAATGGTTCGCTATTTAGTTGCACATGGAGCAGTGGTTTATAAGTACATGGAAGATCCCGAACTCCCACCGCTTCCTTTTGCTGCATTCGACGTAAGTCCACCTATTGATGTTATGGTTTTAGAGCCGCTTGGATATCCTTCAATTCTTGGTGAATGTGGAAGAGACAGATAGAGAAAAGAAGAAAATGAACATGCATTTAGCACTCAGCATAGCCATCATTAAGGGCCAAAACGAGGCAGCAGAATTCTTAATTGATAACGGGACTCCAATAAGTCGTTGGCAAGGGAATGGTTTATCCCCTTTGGAATATGCCATTATGGGAAGAAATGAAGACATGGTCTCATATCTTCTTTCTCGCAATGCCTCGGTTAGCGATACAAACCAGCATGGCTTCACTCCACTTATGACGTCTATCATTCATGACAACCCTTCTGCAGCAGCACTGCTACTTTGTTATGGTATGGCACAATTATTGCACTAAGACACCTCGTTGTGTTAAGGCGCCTGGCTATAGAACAACAGGAGAACAGTTCGCAATGGATATGAGGAGGGAGGAAATTTCCCTAATAATATTTTCGTGGAAATATGAGTTCGTGCCGTCACTGTTTGGATGGTGATAGAATTTGTTTGCCTGATCTTAATAAATCATTGACTTTGTATTTTATTACCAGAGGATGGCTCGAATTCCCACTGGAGTTTTATATATTTCTCTCCTCACAGGTAGCACATTTCGCAGTCACTACTCCTGGCCACTCATCACTGGCTGTGGATGAAATTTGGAACTGTCAATTTGAGTTGCGACAATGTTAGATAAAATCCGTTACAAATATTCCTCCCACTTTTTGAAGGCACTTAGTTAACGAGAGACTGCTTCTGAGCACTCACTTTCTATTTACGTATATAGTTATAGTTATCATCATCAATTCGGTTGACGTTGAGCCTCACGTGGCTGAGGAACATCGAAGCCACAAGAGGTTGAGAGGATTGTGTGTGGGACGGGGGTGGGGACAGAGAGTGTGGACAGAGGGTGGGGAGGTAAAAAAGAGTGATTCACAGATGTCTGACACCAAAGTACTGTGGATGTGTTCAAAAGAGAAATGGTAGTTTGAAGTGAACTGCCGATTTAAAGACTTTTGGCGCATGGGTATATTTTGCTCAGGGTGTGGGACACGTTATCACTGTGTGCCTCATCGTATGCCTGCATGTCTGCTCGCCTGGATTGGGAGGTGCGGCCGTACAACTCTGTGTGCAGCGACCGTACAAACAGTGACCAATCATTAACCTCTGTTTGCTTAACCTAATCCTCCATCCTGACCACGAGTAGCTCCTTACGTGTACACTTTATCCGTATTATACTCACTGAACAAACGTGCCCCGTGCTACACGTCTGTTTCCTCGCTACTGAATAAATGTTCCGTGCTACACGTCTGTATCCTCTGTAGAATAAACGTGCTCCGTGCTAAACATCTGTTTCCTTTATATGCAATATACGTACCGAATAAACGCATTTCGTGCTACACGTCAGTTTCCCTTATAGCTGGACTATAGCTTAGCTTGTTCTGGGAGTCTAGCTAGATGTTGGAGAATTCTCCGTGCTACTCGTCTGTTTCCTTTATAGCTGGGCTATGGTTTAGCTGGTTCTGGGAGTCTAGCTAGATGTAGGAGAATCTCCCTGGTTCTGGGAGTCTAGCTAGACGTTGGAGAATCTGCCGTTCTGGGAGTCTAGCTAGATGTAGGAGAATCTGCCACAGATATAAACGCGCTCCGTGCTACACGTCTGTTTTCTTTATAGCTGAGCTATAGCTTAGCTGTTCTCTAGCTAGAGGTTGGAGAATCTGCCATAGAGATTTCTGATTCCTAGCTAGATGTTGGAGAATCTGCCATAGAAATTTCTGAGCCGGTAGCTAGATGTTTGAGAATCTGCCATGGAGATTTCTGAGTCGGTCTAGATGTAGGAGAATCTGCCAAAGAGATTTCTGAGTCAGGTAGGAGAATCTGCCATAGAGATTTCTGAGTCAGTCAGGCAGGCTTTACTAAGGTAGCTATCGGCTACAAAATCAAACAGCCCCCTTGTGAATGCCAACAGGCTGGGAATATTAAGGAAAATAAATTTTCTTTATTTACGTTACTTTGGATATTGTAAAAATTGGATTAGGGTTACATGCGCATTACGGGAGAAATTGGTTTCGGGGCTTTGCTAAATCTCGAATCTACCTCACCTCTGGCATGTCAAATGTGAAAGGTATTTTGGCTTCAAAGAATTTCCAAATATTGAAGTGAAGTAATAAGGCCGCCTATTTCTAATTAAAAGTTTCTGGTTAATGGGCAGAGGGTATTGTTGACTATTGGAATAAGAACTACCTATTTAGTAAATGCTGTGCTACCCACGTTCAGAAATTAAACAATGCCGAATGTTTGAAACCTTGACGTTGTCATCAGCTTCTTCTTCTTGATTCCTCCCATCCCCATCTCCTCCCCTCCTCCCCTCCTCCACCAACACACCACCTTAGACTTATTCCTACTCGATGTTATTGGCTTCAACAATAATTTTTGTCCAAGTATTAATGCAAGTAATTAGAATAAAAATAAAAATATCGATTTTTTTCCTGTATTTAATTTCATTACAAATGAATGAAAGTTTAGGCTATGCATTATAGTTACAATACTGAAAAACGCGCAATTTTCTCAATGGTCTTAGTGAATGAAATGGAGCTGTTGCAAAGTATAAACTAAACAGATATGAGAGAGGTGTTGGAAAACGCATTGATAATACATCATAGAAATGTTGTGCTGGAAGTGTATGCGAAGGAGATAATGATGATGTTGCTGGATTGGAGGGAATTCTTGTGTATTTTATAAAGCCCATCAACAGACCGATTCATCTCGTACTCGGCCAGAATTAGGAAATAAGATGTGAATCGAGGCATTCATATGACGAAAACTCGATTCGACATTCGTTTGAGATCTCTCTGTGCTAACCTACTTGGTAGCAGTAGTGAAAGAATCACTATCAAATAAGTGAAGTTAATAGAAGGCCTTCTTTTTCTTCTTTTATGAATTTCATAAGAGATAGGGAAATTATATACACTAAATAGATATGAGTGAGGTGTTGGAAGACGTATTGATAATACGTTGTGAGTATCATATCCTGAATTGGAGTTGCAATAGCAGGAAGAATTGAGACGGCTTTGACAGTTGTNGTTTTAATGCAAGTAATTAGAATAAAAATAAAAATATCGATTGTTTTTTATGTATTTAATTTCAAAACAAATGAATGAAAGTTTAGGCTATGCATTATAGTTACAATACTGAAAAACGCGCAATTTTCTCAATGGTCTTAGTGAATGAAATGGAGCTGTTGCAAAGTATAAACTAAACAGATATGAGAGAGGTGTTGGAAAACGNCTACCCTCCTCCACCAACACACCACCTTAGACTTATTCCTACCCGATGTTATTGGCTTCAACAATAATTTTTGTCCAAGTATTAATGCAAGTAATTAGAATAAAAATAAAAATATCGATTGTTTTTTATGTATTTAATTTCAAAACAAATGAATGAAAGTTTAGGCTATGCATTATAGTTACAATACTGAAAAACGTGCAATTTTCTCAATGGTCCTAGTAAATGAAATGGAGCTGTTGCAAAGTCTAACCTAAATAGATATGAGAGAAGTGTTGGAAGACGTATTGATAATACATCATAGAAATGTTGTGTTGGAAGTGTATGCGAAGGAGATAATGATGAGGATGCTGGATTGGAGGGAATTCTTGTGAATTTTATAAAGCACATCAACAGACCGATTCACCTCGTACTCGGCCAGAATTAGGAAATAAGATGTGAATCGAGGCATTCATATGACGAAAACTCGATTCGACATTCGTTTGAGATCTCTCTGTGCTAACCTACTTGGTAGCAGTAGTGAAAGAATCACTATCAAATAAGTGAAGTTCATAGAAGGCCTTCTTTTTCTTCTTTTGTGAATTTCATAAGAGATAGGGAAATTATGTATACTAAATAGATATGAGAGAAGTGTTGGAAAACGTATTGATAATGCGTTGTGAATATCATATACTGAATTGGGGTTGCAATAGCAGGAAGAATTGAGACGGCTTTGACAGTTGTCGTTTTAATTCAGGGATGTTAGGAGGTTTGTCAGCAACAATGGACAACTCCCTGAACACTGAACTCGTATAAGTGTCACACCATAGTCAAATGAAATTCGATTTTTCTGATGCATGCTCTACTTAGAAGCTTTATTAAATTCTACTCGAGATGTATTCAGTCAAATTATCCAAACTTGTCAGACATTCATTCGTTCGATTTCACGCCTCATTAGGACAAGGAATTGGCCAATATTACATCAAGCACTCAAACATCTATTGGTTACTTATAATCAAATTAATAGACTTGACCAATCGTTGACGTCACTCTGCTGATAAATGATTAAAGTATTTTCGCAAAATATCGATATGAATTTGATAATATTTGAGTGGCAAATATTCTCTTTGCTTCTCACACCATGGCCGAGTCACAGCAAACACTTTATGAAGCTATCACTAGAAATGACATTGATTCTGTGAGAATTCAACTGGCAAATAATGTAAGTCAAACTCCATTGATATTCTTCTAGGTCAATCCAAATGTCTTCCCAAATAATCCGACAATGACACGAATCATTTTAGCTGTGAGGCTAAGGTTCCATGACATGGCAAATGAACTAATGATGAATGGAGCTGATGTGAATGAAGTTGATGAATTTGGACAGACTGCGTTGCATGTTGCAGTGGACAATAATGATGAGGCTTCCGTCTCTATTCTTATTTCACATAATTGCAATTTGGAAAAATATAACAACGCTGGTCTAACTCCTCTTACTTTGGCTGTGAGGAAAAATAACATCCAAATGGTTCGCTATTTAGTTGCACATGGAGCAGTGGTTTATAAGTACATGGAAGATCCCGAACTCCCACCGCTTCCTTTTGCTGCATTCGACGTAAGTCCACCTATTGATGTTATGGTTTTAGAGCCGCTTGGATATCCTTCAATTCTTGGTGAATGTGGAAGAGACAGATAGAGAAAAGAAGAAAATGAACATGCATTTAGCACTCTGCATGGCCATCTTTAAGGGCCACAACGAGGCAGCAGAATTCTTAATTGATAACGGGACTCCAATAAGTCGTTGGCAAGGGAATGGTTTATCCCCTTTGGAATATGCCATTATGGGAAGAAATGAAGACATGGTCTCATATCTTCTTTCTCGCAATGCCTCGGTTAGCGATACAAACCAGCATGGCTTCACTCCACTTATGACGTCTATCATTCATGACAACCCTTCTGCAGCAGCACTGCTACTTTGTTATGGTATGGCACAATTATTGCACTAAGACACCTCGTTGTGTTAAGGCGCTGACCCGGATGAACTGAGATATGGCGTAATAGCAGAAGGAGAACAGGTCGCATTGAATATGAGGAGGGAGG